TTTCAAGACTTCCTCAGGAGAGATTCTGGGTGCGTTTCTTGTTTCTCCTGTCTCAGTTAAATGTAGTCTTAATTTCCCTGGTTGCCCTACTACTCAACTATAAACATAAGAACTTCCTCATTGTGTAAGTTTCTCAATTCTTCTGCTGTGATATTACTGTAGACATTGTGTTTTTCTTTTCGTGCACAATTGAGGCGGGAGGTTCTTTTAATTACTTCCACAACAACAATGAAGTGAAAAATTATCATTAATTACTTTTACAACAGCGGTGAAGTGTAAGATTCTTTTTAGTTACTTTCATAACAGCAGTGAAGTCGAAGATGGTTTTCGGTTACTTTCACAACAGCAGTGAAATGGAAGATTGCCTTTAGTTACTTTTACAAAGGCAGTGAAGTCTAAGATTATTTTAGTTACTTTCGAAATAGCAGTGAAGTGCAAGATTGTTTTGAGTTATTTTCACAACAGGAGTGGTCTGACCAAGTGTCCGGAATGTACGTGTATTGCAGTTGACAGTGTATTTAGTACTGACGGTGCTGACGTTTGTGCACATAGTGCGAGGACTGTAGAACCATATGCTGCTGTCAATAAAGGGGTTTGGGCTGTGGAAACACCTAAAGACTTTGGTGTGTTCAGGGCCTATCACTGACTTAGAAGTATTACAGCAGCGACTAGAGAATGCCTGTCAGGAAGTTGAAACCCGGAAGTTTCAACGGAGTGTGTAACTCTCTGCGAAAAAAGGCTGAAAGTTGTATAAAAATACTAGGGGGTCACACAGAACAAGCATCTGATGTAGAAATCACAGGAACATCGCCCATATCTCAACAGACATTGGTTTATGGACATACGTTGATGAGGAAATATTTGTTCATTTAAGTTTACAGGTTGCCTAGCAACACTGTCGAGAGTTGTTTACTGCTGTGTCGTAACCGCGGTATCTCTTGTTACGTCACCGCGGCAATGGTTGCCTGACACAGTTGCTCCTCTGTTACGTCACCGCGGGGAGGGGGTGTTTACTGAGCGTTGCGCACTGATGGAAGGAGTGGGGCTGTGTGGCGTTACTCGCGAGACCGCAGAGTTCACGTGACTCCTCCTTCCTGTTGCGCCATCCACGTCACAATACTGTACCCCCTTAAAGCCTGTAACCGTTTTTCTAACACTCTGTGTAGTCTAGGATGAGGGAGACAATTATAAAATAAGAGCAGAATATGTTAGAACCTGAAGAAGCTTGCAGACCTAGATACTTAGAATACATGAGAATATCTCAAGAGTCGATAATATTGGTACATTTGGTATTCTCATATATAACGGTTCCGTGACTAATAATTATGCTTTATAAATTAGATGACTGGATTTATTAGACGTCTCTATTACAATTACAGTCGATTATAAGAGTTGACACATTGAAATCTTCGCTGTAGTTCTTCTGGTTCCCGGAGTGTTCTCTGGTCTCTAGTCTAGTCTCGCTGTTCGAACCTCGGACTAAGCTAGTTTCGCGCGTACCGAATACACTTCACCGCCTCAAAGTGTTCCATTACTCTGTTTCACGGATAACTTATAAAGGATACACTTGTAATACCGTGGCAACAAAAAACCCACTGCCCAACAATGGGCGATTATTATCGTAACGCTCGAGAATGTGTTTAGCGAACCGTTGTCTAGTAATGGATGTCTCTGCTGACTGCACTGTTCCGACTTTCGCGTGTCATGTTACAGTATGGTTACTATACGGAAAGAAATTGGTAATAAATATAGATAGGATGGATAAAGATGAGTGACCATGAATATTTTTAATTGTAAATTTACAGGGTGAAGGGCATAAATTTCAAAAAGAGGCTGGAACATAGATTTTGAGGCCAGTATAGACAATAATATACATAACCATTGAAGACAAAGATTTGAAAGCTAACAAACTGTCTACGCCGTGGGACCCAAGTGTTTAGCGCTGTTAATACAAATAACCTGATAAGGTAAAGTCATCCCTGTAACAGGCCATGAAAGCCCTTAGGTTTGTGAGACGTTGAGGGTCCCACATTATCTAGACAATAGGTTCACAGACGGCGGTAAGGTTGTCAGCCAGACGCGCCCGCCGCCCTTTACCCCTCAGGAAGGTTCCGGGTACTCATTTCTGTTAGATGTTGAGTCGACCCCAGGGCCATAGTGAGGCTGGAAGGGTTTGTTAATTGAAAAAATACACCTCATCGGGACTTATACCCTCGACCTTCCGGCTTGTAGCTTAGCAACTCAACCAGCTACACTATGTTCGATATAATTCAGAAATGTCACAAATGTACAAATGACGGTTATCAAGAGCTGTACAGCGCATCTAAGTTGACTCTGAAAGAAATTATCTGAAGTGTGAATTAAATTACTTATCAGTATGTCTATAAAAGAGGCAACTTTTGTGGAAAAGTGTGCTGACTTCTTAAGTGAATAATTGATATTGGTGATATTTAATATTTAAGAATCATGTTAGAGAATATGTCGCTGCCAGTGACGTGACTGGAGGCATGGATTCGTGTCCCTCTCAGCAAGTCCAGACCAGCTTCTGCTACAATCAACACCGGCGGATGCAAGGGCTTTTCTCATGGGGTAAAGCTGCTGGAGCTTGAAGATTAAAACTCATATCCACATGAAGCCGAAATCTAGAATGAATGGAGCTTTAAATCTCTGTCCCTGAATTGTCTCAAGTTAGAAAAATTGTAAGTTTTCCTACGGACTTATACTTTGTCTTACTTTAAAGTAAAAGACTTCACTTTAACGAGTTCCGGTTGATATTATATTTCATAAGATATGAAAATTGTTAGAAGGTCTAGGAAAAGAGTATTTCCCTTCTGAACATTGCTTGTACTTTGAATGAAGTGTTTATGTAACAGAACAAAATTGCGTAAAGAGCTGAAGGAAAGGATGGAATTAATGAGTAGAAATATTCGCACGGAAAGTCCGTCACCTCCTTCGTTAAATCAGTAAACTGATGTCATTAAACTCTGTGAATATTAAACTGAACACATACAGGAGAAATGTTTCACTTTAACAAATATCGACGACACACATATAAATTTAATTATTAGAATTCTTGCGTAGACTGAGTCGTATTATCTGCATAATTATTCTTGTTGTAGAAATAAATGTGCCCCTTACACTTCACTACAGTCCCTCGCATAGAGAGTATGAAATGTTTTAGTACAATCACATTCAAATTAAGCAGATTTCATTAATTAACCGAAAAATTAGCCAAATATATTCTTGTACATGATGTAAAATTAACACAATACTTTTCGAAATTGGGTAACAAATACTGGTTAATCTGTGCTTGGAGGCGAGTTTAAATCTCTGTGAGACTCATGAAATAAATTTCTCTTTTTATGAGTTAGCTTATAGGAAACAGTGGTAGGCCCTGTCTATCAACTGAAAAGAAGAATGCACTGTATTTTCTTTTTAAATTGGAACCCTGTAACAATGCACTAAATTGTATATAAGATATTGGATATTGTCTGTTGCCCGACGTATACGAATATCCATGTTGCTCAGCGCATATTTCGTGTTTTACTACTACTATAGTTTCTTAATCTGTGCAGTCAGTAGTAGTCCTCTGATGGGAGATCAGCCAGTCACAAGCCTCTAGCTGCACACAGAACAACACAAACACAGAATAAATGCACATGGATATCCATGCCTCGAGTGGGATAAGAACCCACGGTCCCTATGTTCGAGCTGGCGAAGACGGTTCGTGTCTTAGACTGGGCGGCCGCTGTGACCGACTCAAACTATATATATATAAGCAACCAAAGTAAAAGTTTAGTACGAAAGTATAGAATGACAGGTCAATGTATTGAGCTGAATCCATCTCTCAAAGAACAATCATGTGACTACGAAATTAACACTTAATCATTGAAAGAATGGTAAAACTATCCCTTACACTATCAGCCTTACACGCCGACCGCCCATTACTGCCAGGAAGATTCCTGGTGCTCATTTCTGTTAGAGGCTGAGTCGACCCTAGGACCATAGTCCGGCTGGAAGTTTAAGGTCAACTGAAAAATCCAATAATCTTATTGGGAATCGAACCCGCGATCTCTCGGCTTGTGGTATAGTGCCTCAACCAACTACGCTATAGCGTGCCCCCTTAACCATGAAGGAGCAAAAAATTAATTGACATAAATTTCCTTGCTATTCTCAAAAGTAATTTGCTTGGTTTTACATGTTCTAAACAGAAACACATCTTAGGTAAATAAGCAGTCAACCAATCAGTTATGCAACCTTTGAATCAGCCATCCATGACTGTTGCGCAAAGTGTTATTTAAACATTCGAAGTTAAATAAGTTAAATGTTTCTCATTTTCCAGTGGAATTCAAAGGTTCATCGTCAGTATAAAATTTATTCTTTCCTGAATGATTTCAACACAGTCAAATACCAATAGCCAGATAATATCCCCGATATCTGTATCTGTTACATTCTCCCATGTGTGCCGCAGTATAGATGGACAGTAATTTCAGCACCATGGAAATCTTAACGGACTCTAAACGAGGAGCAGCCGGTCTTATTCGAACTGTCCCAGCCGAAGACCAGCTGTACTGAATGCGCATCTATGATTTTCCTCAGTATATACAGAAATGTTCTGGGATAGTGCCAAAAACTTAAACGTTTCTTCTGATATTCTTCGTGAATCATCATTGACAGTTGCCCTCTGGCTCAAAGCCAGATAACGTACTTGGTTGAGAAAGCGCTGGAACATAACTGCCATCGAGATCAGTGTGGAGATTGTGTAATCTGTTATTTATTTCTACCGATGTTTGAAGGAAGCACGGGTTTTATTGTATCAAACAGTCAGTATCTGTAGATTCTAAAGGGTTCTGACGATGGTGGGTGACACACAGAATTACTGGGGTTTTGGACGATGGAAAAAGTCCAAAATCCCAGTAATTCTGTGAGTCAGTATCTGGCTTCAAACATAATCCTATCAGAAACCAGCAATTAGCTACTTGTTTAATGAAGGCACTCACTTTCCTTATCGGAGTCACTTTCCGTTGTGTGGTTATCCATGGTTTGTTGCTGTCTTTGCGGATGGTTCTGGTGATGTGTTTGGCGATGATCATGTGTCGTGGATGAGGTTGTTGTAGTGGAGGAAGTGGTTGTTGTCGCTTGCGCCCTCTGCTGGAGCAGTGTGATGACTAGACAACTGAGCAGCCATCCGCACTGGGCACTCAACATGGCACAACAACCTGCAACACAATCCGACGGGTTGGCATGTGTCATGAAATTCTGTTCGATGTCCCGCCAGCCAGTAAACTATCTTTCACGCCCATTCACGCATACAACCATCTCTTCAGTAACCCGCTGTCCGTTCACACATTCACTCGCCCACTTATCCGGACAGACAACAAACTAACTAGCCAGCTATTCGTCCCTCCGTCAACCCATTCTCTTCTTAATCACACCCTCTCGTTCATTTATCCGTTTGCATGTCCACAGTATCATATTTTAGGGTCGTTTGAAAAAATATATTATTTTTATTTCGTTCAATAAATCTCGTATCCCTCACATTCTAAGGGCTCATGTATATAATACCAGAATAGAGTAATATGTGAGTGGTAGTTTCGACCACAGACTTAGAAATATGGACAATTATAATATTGTATTACTCAACCTGATTGAACAAACCAGCCTGAGGAAGAAAGGAAGTAAAAGAGTGAATGCAATTTTGCTTCAGAGAGAATTGTTCACGATATTATAGACATTGCAGAACTAAAGCTTGGGTTTCCTCTGGTAGCGGTACCGTAATCAAGCGGCCGTAATATGGCGGTGAATGACGTCNCATAAGGGTCCACAGAAATCTCTTATGATTAGGTAACATTAAAAATAGATTTCAAAGGGTTCTGACGATGGTATATAACAGAATTACTGAATCTTTGGACTTTTCCTATCGTCCGATATTCCAGAAATAGGAAACACGACGTTCCCGAAACTGGATCTGTTTTCCTCCACAGGTGTTTAAAGCAATTTGTAAAGACACTTTTAAATCTTTTGTTTTAATGAACAAAGATTAATGCAATAAAATAAAGTTGAATCTAAATCTATTTCAGTTGCACTAATGCAGTAGAACTACAACAGAGTGAAGCGCTGTTTGTCGCTTTAATAGACCATAATGAACTATGTATATTTGCATCTGAGAAGATGTGGCTGATACATGAGCAGGAGTGTGGCGCGACAGAAAATGACAAAATCTAACCTCATAAACAATGAAATTTCAAATGAGTAACTTATGCAGCATGTGGTACTTCAGCTGTGTTAATAATTTCTTAATTATTTCATTCTCCTGCAAAACTACAAGTATGTCTACACGAGTGCAATCCTCGGCATTCATACAGGAAAGTTATGAAGATAAGACCTTTTAGCGACAGTACGTGTATATGGGCATTATTCAGCTATTCATTCAGAGAATAACTTTAACAACATTGTAATTAGAAGAACGATTTTCTAATATATATTTATGTTTATTACTTCGAATATAAAGCGTCCTCGAATTTAACACACATCCAATTTTTGAACGTGGGTTTTAGGAAAAAAAAGTATAGGCGCACATTCCTCGAATTTAAGACGCGCCTCAATTTTTCAATGGGAAAAATTGTGAAAATATACGTCTTATATTCAAAGTAATGCGTTAAAAAGGAAGTAAGTAAGTAAAGGTATCCCTGTAACAGGCTGTGGAGACCCATGGGGTGTGAGATATTGAGGTTCTAGACAATCGGCTCATAGATGGCGGCAAGGTTGTCAGCCCTATGCGCCGGCCGCACTTTACCCCCAAGAATATTCCTATACTCATTTCTGTCAGAGGCTGAGTCGATACCGGGGCTATAGTGCGGCTGGAAGGATTAGGTCAATTGAAAAAATCCAATGATCTCATCGGGAATTGAACCCACGACCTTCAGAATTGTAGCATAATGCCTCAACCAACTGCGCTACCGCGTGCCCTCTCGAAGCAATACGGTATATAATACGCGGGCGCGCGTGTGTGTGTGTGTGCAGTAACCCAGACCTGAAACCAAAGGAGCATTCATTGGTGAATATTTAAACGAGATTATGGTCTATTATTGTTGCTGCCTGGATCTGGAATAGGGAGGAAAGGCAGGTTGGAAGTGAGACTTCACAATTGTTTTATGTTTTGTTTTGTCGTTATGAAGGTGCAGTGTGCTGTTAAATGATATGAGAGGTTTATTAACTGTAAAATAAAACTAAATGAGACAACAATTTATTACTATTCTGTGTGTCATTTATAGTGGAACAAGAACAAGAAATCTGTGTCCTCGCTAAATTAATGTGTCGTGTGCAGAACAAAAAAAAGCAACATGAAAACATGTACATCCCATTGGAGCATAGCTTTCCACTGAACTGCCGACACCCAAATGTATGCATTTTCTCATCATGAAACTTGAACCTTGCAGGAAGAGAAGGTTAGGAAAAACCGAATGTAAGTTTTCTGCACAGCGTGACAAATTGCGCTCCAGAGGCTTCAGCTGTTTGCTCTATGCATATCTATACCACGACGAGAAGGTGCTCCAATACTTTAATCTCTTTCTGAGACAGAATAAATGGGTAATGATAAACGTTGGAGGAATGTAAATCCTTTTGCTTATGCTTCTGACCTTGATAAACGATAATTGGGCTACTTGCCTCATGTTGCGGTTGATAATTAAGAATTAATATTTCTTTAGTTTTGATGCTACCTTCTGTAAAGGTAAGAGGAGAGTGTGGGAAGTATATAGTTTCATGGAAATATGAATTCGAATATACGCTTCAATTTATAATCTACATCTGCCTTAAATTAATTTACATATAGGCTCCAAACGACCGCCTCTGTGGTCTAGTGGTCAGAGTTCCTGGATACAGATCCAGAGGTCCGGGTTCGATTCCCGGTGCTACCAGATCTTCTGAGAAGTAGTGGGTCTGGAACGGAGTACACTCAGCCTCGCGAGGATAACTGAGGAGTTATTGCAAGGAAATAGCGGCTCCGGTCTAGAGAACCGAAATTAACGGACGTGGAGATTCGTTCCGCTGACCACGCAACACACTCTATCCGCTAAAGTTGGCACTAACTTCGCCGACAAGCGGCAGTCGCTCGGTCGGTATAGTTCGCTTGCTGGCTAAAACCAAGGATTTTTTTCATAGGCTCTAAACAAAGCAACGGGACTGCTTGAAACTGACATTTGGATACTGACTGAGAAAAGAGGAATAGAATGTAGAAGGAATGGGTCTATTGAGAGATTCAATTTGCCTGAAAGTAAGAAACACAATGTACGATGGTAACAATAAGGATAGTTGTGAATCGATGTTTAATCTAATATTGGTTGGAATACCGAGATATGCGATGATCATAGATTTCTTTTTTCCATCCAGGAAAATTGTACAATTCTAAGCTTCAGTTAAATTCTCACACTTTTATATTAATAGCATATTCACATTTCATGCTCCATGTTAATTTGCTTGAAGAAAAATTTTATCCAGATAATAAATTTATGTTATTGTATTTCACGTACTTAGTGCAAAAGGTATGCCGCGCCTTAGCTCAAGCGGTTAGTCGCTGGCTTCCCACCACGGCCGCCCGAGTTCCATCCCGGGTCTGGTCAAGTGGGAGTTGTGGTGGACAAAGTGGCCCTGAGGCAGGTTTTTTCCAAGTACTTCGGTTCCCTTGCCAATCTTCATTCCACCAATTGCTCCACAATCACCCTCATCTATCATCTGGGGCTTCTAGAATAGGCTAGAAGTGGTTGCAGTACAAGGGACTTAGTCCCACCCCACTAGCAATAAAAAGAAGTTGATAAGTAAGTAACATGTAGGTGTAGGAACACTTGTTGAGCGCTGCAGTTTCTTCAGTTTACCCCATAGTCTGATTAAGCTGTAGAGACCTGCGGTTCAACAATAAGGACATTCAGACAAACCATGCTTTCCCAGTTTGAGCAGAATTCGTGCTGCCGTTGCGTCCGAGCTTCATAGAGATGGTTTTAATTCGTACATCTCGTTGCTGATGGACCACATCGGCTGACATCTCTATATGGGACTTAGCTCCTCCTCTAATTTTACTTAAATCTTTCTTCCTGTTTCGTATTTTCGTTTTCTGTGCTTTTCGTTGCCCTGGTTTTTGTTTTACTTTCAAAGCATGCTTTGCAGAAGAGCTCGTTTCCACACTAGCAGCCGACAGAGAATTATTCATGTTACTCAGTTACACACAACGTGCGTAAACACATTTGAATGTCTCAGTCCTTATCTATCGGAGAGGAATAATGAAAATATATTTTCAGTACGTGTACATATATGTCAGTCACTTCATGAAACGTGTCCGTGAAAAATTCAACAACGAGAGAAGAAACATGCAGAGACTGACATATAGTGATTGTAGCCTCTGAATAATGCAAAAGAAGAGTAAACTGCCTTAATGTTTTGCTATATATTTCGTATTGTAAACCAGAACTTTCATCAGACATGTCGCATTGCAAATATTCGAAATACAGTTGTGTTAGCTATTTTAAGTATTTTGCCATCTTACCAACATGTCCTATGTTAGATTTGAGGCTTTCACGGCGGTGACTATGAAGAAAGCAGTCTTCTGGGATTTGGAACCGTGTATATGTGGTGTTAACCGACGTTTCGGAGGAACGTATCGCCTCTATCTTCAGGGTAGAAGAAAAAATATAAGAAATCTGCAAGCGAAGAGACCGTGAGAACCGGTAAAAGCAGACTTGTTTTACCAGTTCTCACGGTCTCTTCGCTTGCAGATTTCTTATATTTTTTCTTCTACCCTGAAGATAGAGGCGATACGTTCCTCCGAAACGTCGGTTAACACCACATATACACGGTGCCAAATCCCAGAAGACTGCTTTCTTCATGTCCTATGTTGTATACAGGTATGAAGGTACGTATGTTAACTATGTAGATAGGTATGTCAAGACAAAGTCGAAGTCACATTGCGACTGACGGTCAGTCAGTCAGTAATTCTTGGTGTTCAACCCCATCTGGGGCTCATGACCAGATATTTATTTCTGTTTGACAGTTACGGTCTTGTTTTCGTGGGGTGCCCTCTCTGACGAGAGGATGGGTCTGTATTTTGTATATGCTGCTGGCCCTTGACAACGCAGTCTTTTTCGGGTGTGAGTCCCTTGTGATTCGTGACCATATACTGTCTCAGATTTGAGACTTCCCTTTTCGTCGCCTCCTACGACTGGCAGGG